CCTTTCAGAGCTTTGAACTTTTCTCATATTGTTTTCTCTGTGTTATTTCTTGGGATGTTTGACACAGAAAAGGATGTGGGAGTTGAAGTATAACCCTACTTTATGGCGGGCCCCAAGAAGTATAAATAGCAGTGTCATTGTCCACTTTTCCTAAAATCCACCAAGCAACACATCAGGGCTTGCCAAGCCCTTTTCAGGACTGCTTATCCACCTTTGGCATCCACCTGATTCACCCAACTCTCACCTGTAGCCATGGCATGCTAGTTAACTATCTTGGCAGACGGGCTAACCTAGATTGAGGGTAACTGAGAGGCATCAAACCCAGGTGAGTTAGGGGGATGTCCACCCCAAGCACATGAAGGCTTCCCCCTGGCCACGGAGGCAGCTGAAGCAGGAGCTGTGGAGCACTTCAAGCTTGGTCAGACATCAAAGATGCCAAAGTCATCCCCTGCATCCTGGGCCATCGCCGGTCATCTTGACTCTCGCCTTGTCACTGGACTTGGATGGCTCTGGAAGACAGAGTGAGGCTGATGATTTTGTGCGGCTCTGCCTCATTTAAATCCAATTCACCTGCAAGTTAAGACACCATCCTGTGATGTCATTGGTCCTCTTTGAAGGATGAACAACTACAACAGCAACAGCGAGCACTTAAAATATGTGCTCCCTGCCCTCAAGGAGCTCACAATCGAATGGAGAAGACAACACGCAAACAAATATGTACGTAAAAGAGATATACAGTGTGAATGGGAAGTCATCTTGGGAAGAAGGCGGGGCAGAGAAAACAGAAAAGGCCAGAAGGTGGGATCTGAGCTGAGAGGTGAAGGGCCTATAATACGCTGGACACAGTTCAAAAAGCATAGAACCAAATTATTCTGTTATAGAGTATCATAATGGATGGCAAGGACCCCAAAAGACTCTTGCACAATTCAGTTTATCAAACATTTATGTTGCCCCTAGGAACACCTCTGTTGGAGCATTTCTTCCATTCAAATCTATGGCTGATACTGATGCTTCTTTTATCAGAGCCAACCGAATGATCATGAATTTAATCCAAAAGCAATTAATGAAACAGCATAACAAAATGATAATAGGATATTGGATCACAAAATAGAGGCACTCTTCAGCATGTATAGTTAAAAGGGGGCAAGGAAAAGAAGAGGAATATTTATATAGAGCCTACTAGGTACCAGGCACTGTACTTAGTGCTTTTTTACAAGTATCAACTCATCTGATCCTCACAGCAATCCTTCAAGGTAGTTGTTATTCTAATCCCCATTTTATAGTTGAGGAAAATCAGATGAAGTGACTTGTCCAGGGTCACACAGCTAATAAATTTCTGAGTCCACATTCAGGTCTTCTTGACTGGGCCCAACCCTCTATCCACTGAGCCGTCTAGCTGCCTCTGCTACGCTTAAGAGTGCTGGATTTGGAGTGACAGGATCTCAGTTAAAATCCTAGTTCCCCTATTGAAAACTTGGGCACCGGACCTCAGTTTCTTTACCTGTAAAATGCAAGCTTTGGACTAGACCATCTTTTAGGTGCCTTCTAGTTCTGAGCCTGGGATCCTTTCCCAAATGGCTTCTGCTTCTCACACAAGCTTCTCAAGAAACTGCTTTGCCTTCTCAACACGGGATAAAGATATATCAATTATTCAGGGAAAGATCCTAGGAAAGCTCATTGTAGATCTAAGAACAGTGTCCTGGCTGGGAAATTCTGGCCTCCTGGCATAGGAACCAGGTAATCCCTAAGATATTCTCCCCTACCCCCCTACCCCCGCCCCTGCCAGCTGTCTTAAGAGTAATTGTCTTGCTATGGGATACCACAAAATCACCAAAACCCGGTGTCATGGAAACCAGAATTAAGAGCATAACTACCATTTCCCCTCCTATCTCTCCTTGATTAAGCATTCCTTCAACCCTTTGTCTCATCCTTTGCAAGCCTCTCCCAGCCTTTTCAAGCTCTCCCCACTTAGAGCTTCCTTATAACAAGAGCATGGAATCTGTACCCAAACAGACCCTCTCATATCTATTCAGTGTCTCTTATGTTCAGAGCCTTGGATCAAAGGATTTAGAACTGAAAGTGACCTTAGAAAGTATCCAGACTAAATCCCTTATTTTATAGATAAGGAAACTCAGACCTAGATAGATTAAGTGACTTGTCCACAGTCACATAACAAATAAGAGAGCTGGGATATAAATTCAGAACTTCTTTTTCCAAATCCCATACTCTTTTACCTGTGCTAGGAGCTGGGAGCTGAGGTGAAGACAGTTTAATCAAAACACAGAATGTTCTAGGTGGCACAGGGGATAGAGTGCCAGGCCTAGAGTCAGGGAGACTCATCTACCTGAGTTCAAATCTGGTCATTTACTAGCTGTGTGACTCTGGGCAAGTCATTTAACCCCGTTTGCCTCAGTTTCCTATTCTGTAAAATGAGCTGGAGAAGAAAATGCCAAACCACTCTTCTCAGGAAAACCCCAAATGGGGTCATGAAGAGTCGGACATGACTGAAATGACTGAACGATAACCATATAACAAGGATATGACACAAACCTACTTGTAATTAATAAAAGTAATACTTCAGTACAGCAAAGAAGTTCAAAATAAATGTGTGTGTGTGTGTATCTGAGAAGAGGAGGGATTGTAATGAAAAGTTAAAACCAGTGTGGGTGGGGGGAATGAGGAGGAGGAATCAGAGAAAGGTTTCACGGAGAAGGCAGTATCTGAGTTGGGCTTTAAAGGCTCAGTGGAAATTTAACAACACAAAAAGGAGTTTAATAAAGGAGACAAAAAGGACACTATTTATATCTCATAATCATCGAGTGTGTCAAGCAAAATGTTATGAACTATCTTCTAGGACATCGAAATAATATTGTCACAAAGACCATTTCTTTATGATGCGGTGTCTCATAATGGAAATAGACCAAGACTTGGTTTCTCAGAGCTGTGTATCGGTAGCCACCTCCATCTAGACCAGAGATCGTTCTATGTCAGAGAAACAGTCTGGGCCTTTCACCCCATGGTCAACATGTTGGCAGGGCCCTTGATGACTTGGGGTGGAGGAGTTGGAGGAGAATATTTCAAAAACAAATCCTGGTACAGGATCCCAACCACCCAGCGCAGCAATTTCCAAAGACTCACCCTTGGAACCAGTGCTCCCTTTGATACAAAGTATGTGGCCTGTCAGCGTCCTTTCCCTTTGATTAATCCAGGATTACTGCAAATGTGCAGTAATGACAAGGAGGCCAATGAGGAAGGGACCGCACAGGGCTTTGACATCAGTGCTTAGCAACAAGAGTGCCAGACTCTCCAAGCTACCCGCTCACTTTGTCTCAAGCTTTATTTGCTGGGGCTTTTTTTGTTTGTTTGTTTCCCTGACAGACTTCTTTCAGATGAGCAAAGCAGAAGACCGTTTTCTTTTTTTTTTTTTAATTTTCCAGGAGTTCAGTTTTCTCTGCAAGAGTCTTGTTGGCACTGCTTAGGTACAGGCTGTTTTCCAACCCAAGAAATACAACTAGTAAGGATTCTGTGTTCTAATTATTTGATTGAATTTACAGGTAATTCCTTTGTAATATCTGCCAGGTGTGAGTCTTTTCCCCTTTATTCTGAGTTTTTCTTTCTACTTGATTTTCTGAGAAACCTGATGTAACTTGGCTGGAGGGAGATGATCCATCTATGGTGAGGGTGGAATTGGTATTATAATGGCTGTTTTGGAGTAGAGGTTCTCATTTTACAAATCCAGTCAAGTAGATGTGATTCTCCCCCTAGTGTTGCACGCTTGTTTGGGGTGATATCATGTATTATGGGCTGATAACCTGGCCCTGCAACTACCTTGAAATCTCCCTGGATTTAGTTGACTAGAGCTGTATATTTAATACTTTTCTTCCACAGAGAATTTGAAAATGGGCAGGGTATAGGGCAGTTAGGTGGTGCAGTGGACAGAGCACCGGCCCTGGAGTCAGGAAGACCTGAGTTCAAATCCAGCCTCAGACACATAACATACACTAGCTGTGTGACTCTGGACAAGTCACTTAACCCCCATGCTTAGCCAAAAAGGAAAAAGAAAAAAAAAAGAAAATGGGCAGGGTAATTACATATAAGGAAGACAGATCTAAGAGAACTCTCTCCTTTAAAAAAAAATGTGTCAACCAATAAATGAGAGTATCTTAGGGAGCAAATACCAATCGCATGTGTGGTGAATGGTGTGTATTATGATATTATGATAAAAATAATAACAAGCTGAGAGTCTAGGTGGCACAGGAAATAGAGTGCTGGACTTGGAGTCAGCAACATAAGTTCAAATCCAGCCTTAGACTTGCCAGCTGTGTGATCTGGGAAAATCATTTAATCTCTGCCTCAGTTCCCTCATCTGTAAATGGGGATGAATAATAATAGCACTCATCTCCCAGGGTGGTTGTGAGAACAAAATGAAATGATATTTGTAAAGTATTTTGCAAACCTTAAAGTGCTATATAAATTATTTTTGTTATTGTTATTATTATTTCTTTTTTAAAAATCATCCCAGGTAGACAAATTTTGCTTGGCCTAAATTACTTCTAGAGAAGGAGAGACCACTACCCTGTAAGCATAGCCTGAGAGCTGGAAGAGATTATTTATTCCAGCCTCCTCTTTTTGCTGATAAGGAAACTGAGGTCCGGAGAGGAGGAGGGATTTTCCCAAGAGTGGCAGAGCTAGGATTCAAACCCAGGCCCTCCAACTCTGCACCATGTACTCTTCTCATTACACCATACCATGTTTCCTTTTTCATTTCAAACACGCCTCCCAAATTTTGTATTTTGTAATAATTTGCTTCTTTCCTACTTTTCTGTGAAGTGACTACAGTAAAAGCTCCCAGATCCAGCCCTGTGATTTTCTGATGAAAGCTAACCGTCTGGCTGTGTTTCTTTCAGGTTGACAGTGGAGTGGCCCAGCTGAACCCAGAGTTCCTGGCTTCGGTTTCCCCAGATGTTTGCATCCTTGGTCACTGTGCTCTGATCCCGGTCCCCAGCAAGGACCAGCCCTACCCCCTTGGAGGAAATGGCTAAGCCGTCTCAGCAGCAGCAGATGAAAACTTCCTTCCTCTTCATCCAGCTGCAACCCTCCCCTGGCCGAACTCCCGCCCAGTCTCCAGCATTCACAGCCCCAGCCACAACCACAGCCTCAGCAGCTGCCCGGAGGGGAGCCGTGAAGAAACACGGTTCCCTAAATCCCAGGACAGAGCCCTCAGCAAGCCAAGACCTCTGGCTCAAAGGACGGGTGGTAGAGACTCCCTCGTGGTGGCTGCCAGAAGAGGACTATGGGACAGACCGGGCAGCTGCATTCAGCTGCTTTTTGCTGAAGAAGAAGGAGGAAGAGGAGGAAAAAGCCAAAGATCCAGTCCTAAGGAAGGGTTGCGTGTCTCATTTCTTGCAACACCAGGCTCTGCCTCCTCAGGAATGTGGGCAGCCACAGGCATGGCCGTGCAGCTTTCCTAGTCCAGCTCTTGGGATGAGCAATGGGACCGGCAGCCCTTTCACAAACTGTTCTATCATTTCGGCTCCCCAAGCCCCGTGGAGCATGGATCACCAACTCAGGGCTGCGTTGGGGCCGTCGGTACTACGGGCAGCTGGGCCAGCGCCAGCTACTTGTAGCAGGACTTCAAAGGCAACGCAGCGGAGTGTGGATGTTGCTAGCATGTCCCTCACACATCCAGGGCAGCTTCAGGAGCTTCCAGCTAGAAGTCGAGGCTGCTGTTTGATGGACCCAAGGAGTGGTAAAAGAGGAGCCAGTACCCCTGTATTGGCCACAAGAGCGGAGCAATATAGATATAGCCCCCGAGTGCAGACCAGCAGTGTTTACCGGGCACCACCAGCTGCCCCACGGCTTAAGGTAAGAACTCCTGAAAGCCTATGTAGCCCAGTCCTGCTGAAGAGCCATCCCAGAGACCTGAGCTGGGAGAGGATGGATTGTAGGATCGTAGATTTAGAGCTGGCAGGAACCTTAGGGACCGTAAAGTCCAGCACACTCGTTTTACAGAGGAAGAAATAGAGGCCCAGAAAGAATAAGGGAATATGCAAAGTCACACAGCTAGTAAGTCTAAAGCGGCATTTGAACGCAGGTCTTCATTACTCCAAGTGTAGTGCTTCATCTAAACAAAGATCAGATGTTTCTACATGAAAGACATGCCAAGCATCTCTTCGCCTCTATCATAGCTTTCTCTTTCGCTATAGTCATATCTATACCTGTGTGTTAACATAGGTCAGCATTGTACCTGGAGTACCTTCCAATCTTCTCTTGGGATAGGACTAGGGCGAGCCATGACTCAGCATGGAGGTAGGAAGCAATCAGAGAGGGCACCATGGAGTTGTAAGGAGGTTCCAGAATCTGAAGCCTGCTCCTGTTATATTTCATAAGTCTGTCACTACTGAGCTTCTGGCTTCCTAAGCATGGTAATCTCTGGCACAAATTCCTCCACAATCCAGCTCTGCCTCCTGACTCCAGACATCTTCTCTGGCTGTTCCTCCCGTGGTTGGCATGCCCTCCCTTCTCATCTCTGCCTCCCGGCTTCCCTGACTTCCTTCAAGTCCCAGCTAAAATCCCACCTTCTGCAGGAAACCTTTTCCTAGCCCTCTTCATTCTAGTGCCCTCTCGGCTGATTATCTACAATTTAGTCTGCATATGGCTTATTTGTACAGTGTTGTTGGCATGTTGTCTCACCCATCAGAATGTGAGCTTCTTGAGGGCAGGGACTGTCTTTTGCCTTTCTTTGTATCTTGAGTGCTTAGCACAGTGCCTGGCATATAGTAAGCAGTTAGTTAATTTTTGTCGACCGGCTGCCTAACCAGCTGTATGACTTTGGATAACTGTTTTGATAATGATTCATTCTGATATCACGCTTTACAGTTTACCTTCTCTAGGTCATAGGTACTCCTTACCTGCAAAATGAGGGTAGAGTGGACCAAAAGCCCTTCTTCCTTTAAGATTTTATAGTCTTGCCTCCTACCTAACTCATTTTTAAGCATCTCTTTGTCCATATCTCCTACCCATCACCTTCAATTCCTTCTATGCCTAACCCCTACATTCCAATGTCCTCCTCTAACTCTGAGACTATATATCTCAGGTAAAGACCTGATCAAGCCTGAATCGGATGAAGCAAAGGAAAGATGATACTTCTAATGCTATGGAGATACCACTATTCTATTTGTTTATATGTATACATGGGGGAGGGGTGGGAGAGTGGGTGTGTTTGAAGTATATGGGAAACTGATGTCACAGGATCCCTTGGGGAAATTACAGCAGAAAGGGTAAACTGTTCTCTGCTAGGAGCAGGAAGTAGGCTTGGCTTGGTCAGCAGGTTTGCCTAGTTCAGACCTCACTGCTGATTTACCTTCTACTTTCTCCTCTTAGTTGCTTCTTTTCTGGTAGAATAGGTTGCTTGTATTACATGGTTAAATGGATGGGAGCCCCAGTCTTGTTTCTAAAGACAACCTTGAGGGGGGAAAAAACATTTTAGAGTTTCCCTCTTGAGAAATAACTCACATTCTATCCCAGTTGCTGGCTCTCATTTCCTACAGGGATTTGGGACAAATGGTATAATCACTGTGACAGAGAATTGGTGAGGAGTAGTGGCAGGGGCAGACCCAGTGGTGATTTGTATACTTGGAAACTCTTCTAGTGAGAGGATCCTTTTCTTCCCTTCCTAACCTCTCTTTCTCCCCACTTTCCAACAAAAATCCTCAGAACTACTATTCTTTCTCCTTTCCTTTTTTCTGTCCTGAGTTTGGCTGGGTAGATAGAGTATCTTAGGGAGCCAATACTGATCACATGGTATGATGAATAGTTTGTATTATAATATTACGGTAAAATGATAACAAGCTTAGAGTCTAGATGGCACAGGGAATAGAGTGCTAGACTTGGAGTCAGCAACATGAGTTCAAATCCAGCCTTAGACTTGCCAGCTGTGTGATCTGGGAAAATCATTTAATCTCTGCCTCAGTTCCCTCATCTGTAAAATGGGGATGAATAATAATAGCCCTCACCTCCCAGGGTGGTTGTGAGGACAAAATGAAATAATATTTATAAAGTATTTTGAAAACCTTAAGTGCTATATAAATTATTGTTGTTATTATTATTATTATTTCTTTTTTAAAAATCATCCCAGGCAGACAAATTTTGCTTGGCCTAAATTACTTCTAGAGAAGGAGACACCATTACCCTGTGAGCATAGCCTGAGAGCTAGAAGAGATTCAGCAAAGTGCTTTGTATGTAGTTGTTGTTCCGTCACTTTTTTTTCATGTCTAACTCTTTATGACCTCATTTGGGGTTTTCTTGGCAAAGATACTAAAGTGGCTTGCCATTTCCTTCTCCAGCTCAGTTTATTGATGAGGAACTGAGGCAAACAGGATTAAGTGACTTGCCCAAGGTCACAGAGCTAGTAAGTGTCTGAGGTCAGATTTAAACTCGGGAAGATGAGTCTTTGCTCTATCACTGTGTCACTAGCTGCCCCATGTACATAGTACATACAGTAAAGTATCTATTTGTCTATCTGTCTATCTATTCCCTGACTCTGACTTTCATTTCTTCTCTTTCCAGACGACATGACCAGTAAACCAATGCCTTATGTATGCATGGAAAATCCAGACTGGTGGGGTGGCTGTTCAAGAAGTTCACTCAAAATCAATGGATAAGTTAAAGTTAAAAACATAGCTGAAGGAGGTACATTTATTTTGAGTGAACTTCTTAAATAGCTATCCCACCTCTGGCCTGGATTGGAGCATTCTAGAGACTTTACTTTTATACCTTGCTAAATGCTGAATATACATACATATATATATATATATATATATATATATATAGTATATGTATATGTATAGTATATATATATGTATATGTATATATATATATATATACACACACACATATATATACACACACACACTATATATATATATGTATATATATATGTATATATATACATATATATAAGCAATATAAAAACAAATAAGATAGCCCATGCCCTCAAAGAGCTTATGTTTTAATGAGAGAAGACAACCTATTAAAGGGAGCTAGAAGGGGTAGGGCTAGTGTGGAGGAGTGTGTGTGTGTATGTGTGTGTGTGTATGTATGTGTGTGTGTGTGTGTGTGTGTGTGTGTGTGTGTGTGTGTGTGTTGGAGACACTAGGCATCAGGCTTACCAGCCAGAACAAGAAGCTGGCTAGAATGAGAGGGCCAGTCATACCACTTCTGACCTGGTTTCATTGAAAGCCCCTTACTTGTCCTGTGGGGCTATGGGAAAGAAAGAGGGATTACAGTGGAACATGGATTATTAACCTCTGCATGTATATCATGGACTCCTTTGGCAATCTGGTGAAGCTTATGGATGGATGACCCCTTCTCAGAATAATTGAAAAAATGCTAACTGTCAGTTAAAGTTTATAGGACTCCCTAAAATCTATCCATCAACTCCTCGGGAGTTCATGAACTGAAAATTAAAAACCCCTGGAACAGAGGAAATGACAGCAATAGTAGTCCCTTGGCCTTGCTGCCGAGATATTGTGACTGGCTCTAGCAGTGGCACTAGGTGGGTGTTTCTGCTTTCACACATCTACAAGCTTCCTTCCTTCTCCCAACTCATAGAAAGAATACTCAATTGGGAGTTGGAGACCTGGGTTCTAGTCTCAGCCCTGCCACTGATTTGGCTGTATGACTTTTTCATATTTCACTTCCATTCCCTGGGCCTCAGTTTCTTTCTCTGCACAATGAAGAGGTTGGGCAGAATGATCCCTAAGGTAATTTCTAGCCTTTTTTTTGTTTGTTTCCTAGGCTGTGTGTCTCCTACCTCCCTGCCACCCGTCCCCACTGTCCCCCAAGCCCATAATCATTTGGAGTGTTGGAGGGCTTAGCAAAATTGCCAGAGAAATGCTTTTCCTCTGCCCAACCTTTGGTACATATTCTGTTAGGCACGCAGTGTTATGAGCAAGTTGGGGAAGCAACTTATTGAGAGAGGAACTAGTGGATACAGTGAACCACAGTTCATTACCCTGCCCTCCAGACTGGGGAGATTAATTTAGGAGCATGACATGCTCTTCTTATTTCATTGTTTAGCTACATGACTCATAGCAAAATGATAGAAAGGTTAGTGCTTAGAAACTTCTGGTTATGTGTGTAATGCATGAGTGGTGAGGTACATGATTACCGCAGCAGGAATCTCCAGGGGCCTTGCTCTCTAGAATTCATGATGGATGGTATTTGTTAAGTCACGAATAACCATGAGCAAGAGCTTTATTATAGGACAGAGAACCCCTGTTCCTGACCCTTTAAGTACTGTGGGACTGACTTCCCCCCATGGCAATTTTCTAAGCAGAAAAGTTTGAATCTCACAAACCAAAGCTCTGCCTCCCTATGGGTGCCATTATCTAAAATGGTTGATTTTCTGCCTCTTTGTGAGAAAAGTATGGGTAGGAAAGTAAAAGCCAGTGATCCACTTCCCTTTGAGGGGTCTAAAGGGTGAATGCAGTTAATGGAGCTCCTGTTCCCTTCAGTTATTTTGTGACAGGGTCCTGGGTGGGGGCTTTCTTCAAGCACCGTTAGGTATGGCCCCATGGCGTGTGGACACAGTGGGCGCACTTCTGGGTGTATTTCCTGGGTGATGGTTGGAGAAGGGCTGGGGAAAAGTAGTGGAAATTCTGCTTGGTAACCTAGCATTGCCCAAGTTTAGCCAGTTTGCATTCTGGTGGTAGCCCAACCCAGGCTTTAGAGACCATAGAATTCCAGCTCAGTGACATGCCATTATAACCTCCTGGATGTTAGTCATTTGTTGCTGTTTAGATGCTTTTCAGTTGTGCCCTACTCTTTGTGACCCCTTTGGGAATTTTCTTTGCAAAGATACTGGAGTGGTTTGCCATTTCCTTCTCCAGCTCTTTTGAAAGATGAGGAAATTGAGGCAAACAGGGTTAAGTGATTTGCCCAGGGTCACCCAGCTAGTAAGTGTCTGAGGCCAGATTTGAACTCAGGAAGAGGAAACATCCTGACTCCAGGCTAGGCACCCTATCCACTGTGCCACCTAGCTAGCTGCCCAGTTTAGTCAGTTCATGTTAGTCTAAATATGAAAAGAGCATGGAACTAGGGGTCAGAAGACCTGTGGGCTAATCTCAACTCTGGCCACTTACCAGCCATGTGACCTTGACCTTGAGTAAATTATTTAACTTTTCTGAGCCTCACTTTCCATATCTGCAAAAAATGTGATAAAAACTTCCCTGTCTACCCCATAGAGTTATTAAACTAAATTCAATTGAACAAATACTCAACTCTTAATATGGTACATGATATAGGATCACTAAGAGATGGTCTTGCTCTCATGGAGTTTACTATCTTGTAGGGTAGATAAGACATACACACCAATAATGATAATACATATTACAATGTGATGAATCAAAAAGGTACAAAATGTTCTAAGTAATAGGAAGGAAAAATCGTTTTCCAATAAAAATGTCAGAGAAGGCTTCGTGCAGGGGTGGCACCTGAGCTGGGCCTTAAAAGATGGGTAAGAATCAAGTAAGATGAGATAGGAAAGGGCACACCAGACGGGGGGTAACTTTGTGAGCAAATGCGTGGAGATAGGAAACCATCCTGTTTGGCGAACAGAAAAGAGACCTGTTGTTGCAGTGATTAAATATACATGAAAGTTCTTTGTAAACTGGAAAGCTCTCTATATACATGTAGGAGGGGTCGTGTTGTTGCTGCTGTTGATGATTATGGTGAAAATCCATGCTTTCGGTCTAGCTGACCTTCCATGTCATTGCTCCCATGTCCTGCTGCTCTATGAAAAGGAAAAAGGAATTACTGTACTTTGGCTCTGGCTCTGAGCCGGAAATGTGAAAACCTGAAAAGCCAAAGAGATTCATTTTTTTAATGTCAAAAATCTTTCCAAAGACTTTTCTGGGTTTTCCCTATAAAATTAGAGGAAAAAAGCATCATTTTCCCTAAATCATCTGGGCTTTCATATGTCTAAATATATCAAGCATGGAGTTTTTAATGAACAAGCTAAGTTATGTATAATACATCTTTGTTCCTAAACCAACAGTGTGGCATTACTTGCATTTCATGTTTTCCAAACCCTCCCTTCCCAATTCACCTTAAAAAAATAACCCAGCAACCTCAAGTGGCCTCCCTCCCACAGGCCAGTGTTTTTTCCCTCAAAATTGGACTTTTCTGTTCTTGTTACCTTGTATTTACCCCTGTTTCAACCAAATTTCTGCTGGTATTGCATGACTAGCTACCTCGGCGAGCTTTTATTCCAACGTCCAGGGGATGACAAAGGACAATGGCGGTTGGAGGTGAATGTAAACAGAGCTAATGAGAATTTAGAAGGACCAAATGACAACACTTCTGGTCTGCCCAGCAGTGCAGGAGGCTAGAGAGCCTGAATTCTAGTACAGAAGCCGTTTCTGGCTCGCCAGGTAACACTGGACAAGTTTTGACTGTATGGGCCTTCATGTGATATTCTTAAAAATAAAGTTACTTCGGTGATCTGTGACTTTACAAGTGGGAGCACTCCCTCCGCCAATGCAGGTTGCGGCCCCCTTTTATTCCTTTGCAGATGATCTATGCGACTAACTATGGCTACAAAGTTTGCTGTTCCAAGGCCAAGTTTGGACCAAACTTAGCTAGACTGGTCTCAGATGAAAGACATACCATTTGTCACTGCAATCAGGCCTTTCCAGCCCAGTAGGACCTGCCATACTTCACTGGTAGAGCCTTCGAAAGGCCAGGGTCACCTCTACACTATGGTGAGGAATCAAGAGCAGGATACAAGTGTAGGCAATGCCTGGCATGGGATGTATGCCTGGCATAGCTCTGTAGAAAAAAGACATTTGTAGCAGACAGAGCGATGACCTGGGACTCAAGAGACACAGGCAGTTAGCTCTGGTCCTGCTGAGTCTGTCTCTTCATTCCTCCGAAACTCATTTTTCTCATCATAAATACAACTCAGAGGTAGCAGGGCAGGCCAGAGTTCTTGGTTCAGCTAGGAAGACCAATATTTGAATCCTGCTTTTGACATTTACCCAACACCAGTATTGTCATTTTATAGATGAGTCCCAGAGAGGTTAAAAGGCTTCCTTATAGTTATACAACTGAGCAATTTCTGCTGGCAGGATTCAAACCTAGGTGTCTCGACTTCAAGTCCAGGGCTGTATCATTCTGGGACATTTGTTCTATTATATCTATGAGTCTAAGGTCCTTTCCAACTTGAAAATCTTAGTATATATCTGGCACATGGTATAGGAGCTTAATAAATGTTTGATTGAGAGCTTAATAAAGGTGAAATGTTTTTATTAAAAACTAACTAGATTATTACAGTGACATTTGATTGAAATTATTTTCAAGGAAGAAGGGAAGTATCAGAATGGTCTCATGGTCATACTGAGTCACCTTTCCAAGGCTATTAAAGTCAGTGTTGCCTCTGTCATGGTGATGCCATTTCGGGTCCCCTGGTATCAAACTTTCTTTAAAGAATTTCATAAAGGGCAGCTAGGTGGTGCAGTGATAGAGCACCGGCCCTGAAGTCAGGAGAACTTGAGTTCAAATCCAGCCTCAGACCAAATACTTGACACGTACTAGCTGTGTGACCCTGGGCGAGTCACTTAACCCCAATTGCCTAAAAAAATTTAAAAAAAAAGAATTCCATATATCCCTTGGGGCTCCAGGGCTGTGAAACCAGTGATTGGACCATAGTAACAGAATTGCATGGATGGACATTCCTTCACTGACCTGATTTCTAGATGAATGAAACCATTCTGGGAACTAATTGTTGACCCTATAGCCTACTTAGTCCCGTAAAAGAGGCAATTTGTCTCATCCTGGTAGGTACCTTATTACCTAAGAGGTTGTTTCTCTTTCTTTGTTCTCTTGTTGGGATCGATTTTGTTTAATGCATAGAAGGTTGCCTTTACATCAAACCTCCTATGCACACTTTTGATTTTTTAAAAGAAAACCAGAGCCAAAGAAAATATCCACAAATACACATAGAGTAATTGTAACAGGAGTAGGCATTTAAATAAAAGTGCCATGAAGAATCTTTTGTAACAGGTTGAGAAAACAGTCTTTATTTGCTCTAGAAAGTATTTTTGCCCTCTTAATCTTGACACAGATGTCTTGATTTACCGCTTGAACAAATAAAAACTAAGCCACTAAATGGCACACTGGATAGAGCCAGTGAGCTGGGAATCAGGAAAACTCATCTTCATGAGTTCGAATCTGGCCTCAGACACTTATCAGCTGTATGACTCTGGGCAAGTCACTTCACCCTGTTTGTCTCAGTTTCTTCATCTGTAAATTGAGATGGAGAAAGAAATGGCAAACCACTTCAGTTTTTTTGCCAAGAAAACCCCAAAATGGGGTCACAAAGAGTTGGTCACGACTGAAAAATGACTCAGCAACTACAAAAGACAGCATAATGATCTCCACATGGCTCCATCCTATCACTTCATCCAAGATGTCAACATTCTCCTCTTCCCCACTATGTCGTACTTCATCATATTCTTCCATCAAGAAGATGTTGCCACCACCCAGTAACTGTTAAACTTTCTACATCTCCAGTCTACTCCTTGGAATGACAGTTGGCTTTTACATCAGAGGTGAAATATGAGAGAGAGGTATTATAAACATAAATGAGGACATTGGACTGGAAGTCAGGAGACCCGGGTTCTCGTTCTGACTCTGCCAAGAAGTCCCTTTGTAACCTTGGGCAAATCATTTCCTCTCTTTATGCCTCAGTTTTCTCAATTGTAAAATAAGAGTTTTAGACTTGATGACTTCTAGGGGTTCATCCAGGGCTAATGTTTCATGATCCCATGAGTTTGTCCCAATCCATTTATATCTGTAGTTACAAAAATGCCTCCAAATACCACTTGGCATTAAGAAACCTCCATTTCTAGCAGGATATTACTACCTTTAAGGGAATGATTTAAAATTAAACATAACCCACTTTCCAGAACAGGAAGTCAGGGATTTTCTCTCTTTGAAAAGTGAGGCATAGACAAAAACCTCTATAATTCCTGTGCTATCAAGGTCTGGGTATGAATTCTAAAATCTTTAAGAACAAATTCTGCCTGGGCATGGTGGCACATGCCTGTAGTGTTTGCTGCTGGAAAGACTAAAGCTGGTAGATCACTTCAGATATCTGTGCTAAGTCTTGTACCAGTATGGTGAACTCAGTAGTGGAGGGCCACCGAGATGCCTCAGGAGGGTCAGGTCAGAAAAACAAAAGTAGGTTAAAGCTTTCCTACTGATTAGCTTTGGAATCAAGCCCAAGAGGAGTCACTGTACTTACAGAGAAGGAGGAAGAGGAAGAGAAGCAGAAACAACAGCAATAATGACAGCCAACAACTTCTGGTGATATTTATCCAGTTTTCAATTCAGAAAGTCCAGAGTTTACAAAGAAGGGTAGGACAGCCAATCAGTTAGATCTTTGCCTTTCAATGCTACAAGTGAAAGAATTTACTTCTTGTTTGTGTGCATGTAAAAATACACATTGTTTTCACCCCAATCAACAATTCATTTGTATAAAATTATGTGGTGGAGTGGGAAATTGGTAATGAGGGGTTTTTTTTAGTACCTTGAAATTTAACTAGGAGTAAAAAATCAAGCTATTTCCACCAGTCTTCTCAATTTGGTTTCTTAGCTGCCTCTCTGAACAAGATACTTTTATTACCCAGTGTATGAATAGCAAACTGATAGCTATGCAAAGTTTCTGCCAGCATTTCTGAAAGGTGTCAGATGGATGGGTTAAAGAAATCAAAGGGTGTCAAATGGGCTGGAGGAAGAAGCTGTTTTTTTTTTCTCCTGAAAGTGATGTTATAATATCCTCAGGATTAGGAAAGCAGTTTGTAATTTAGGCCAGAGGGAGGTATTTGTTAATGCTGCTTATAATTAAATGCTACCTGAAAATCAAATCATCATCTCTTGAGGAAGTTTGGAGAAGAATTTGGCTATAGATGGATGAAGTTTCTTTTCTTAGAACTTTTTTTTCTAGCAAGTGTAAAAATAAACAAAGATACAGAATGCACTCAGATATAGGTTCTTAGGCAGATATTTAATTATATAGCCTGGTTATATATCCTATATTTGGTTACACATGCTTTCAGCTTCCCTTCAACCTTCTGGGGCTTTTTATAGTTTGCAATGTTATGTACCTGTAGAGGGCTGAATTTCACCATGTTTAAGAACAAGGTAGAGTTAAGACAGGCACCACCGTGTTGGACCACTTCTGGGTTCTGTTGAGTTTGCTGCACTTAAAAATCAGCATCAGCAGAACTATTTCAAAAGGCAGAGAGAAAGAAAAGATAGGACTTGCATATAGTTAGCATTGTCTGGCAGTTGCAACTCGGCATTTTTTAAATCAGTTTATAAAGTAATCAGCAGCTCCTGACTCTTTTTTTTGGCTGCCCTCCTCGTTGTGCATATTTCCTGTGATTATATTTAGTCAACTTATTTGGAATGCAACTCTCATTTTTCAGGACTTAGTATTGGTGTGGGACTTGACATTAACCCCTTAGCTGCTAAATCCAACAAGCAGATCATTTACTGCGGAGTCCCTGGGGTATTGTTCAAGCATTCATTCTCGGTCACATTTCTGGAGCCCATGCTATCTTCATAGGGCTTGTCTATTATGCCTGAGAAGTGAAGTCACAGCTACTATAAGGAATGAATGAATGAATGAAAAAGCATTTATTAAGCACTCTATGCAAAGCACTGTGCTAAGCACTGGAGATACAAATAGAAAAGTAAAGTTCAAGGAACTAAAATTCTAATAAGGGAAAGATTTATATAGGAGGTTTGAACTGCAAGTCACATGGAAAGACCCAGTGGTCCTTAGGGTTCAATGGCAAAGTAGATGGTAATGAATCTTCTTTAATTTTGTTTCCATTAATAAAAATCATCGTGATATATAACGTTGATCCATTTGACAATGCGGAGGACTTTGGTGTCAAGAATTTTCTTTTTTGGGTCTTCAGTAGCTCTAGTTGCTGAGGAAATGGAAGCTCCAGCACCCATAGAGGCAATCTGCAGGTCAGTTAGCCACAAGGGTTGCTCCCTTAGGTGATGTTTGCTGAGTAGCTGGTTTGGTGGGGGTGGGAGAGAAAGGGTGACTGCTATTCCCAATGCTCTTTGAGGATTTTGGGGAAATAGACTGCTCCACAGAAGTGAGTTGTTTATCTAGCTCAAGCTCACCCATTTATATGACTTTACTTCCATTTTTGATAATTTTTGGTCAAAAGTGTTTCTGCAATAATAGTAATGCTCCAGTGTTTCCAAGATCTCACAGATATGAGTGAGTATTCCCTCCCACATCAGAGAACCCAACCCATCCATGCCTGACCATTCTGTATAGTTCTTGTCTATGCTTTCCCATAAATTTGCCACAAGGGACCCACCTAACCATTTAGAGGCCTTCCTTGCCTTCTCTTCTCTTAGGGTTCAATGGTAAAGTAGATGGTAATGCATCTTCTTTAATTTTGTTTCCATTGATAAAAATCATCGTGATTTCCAATGTTGAACCATTTGACAATGCTAAGGACTTTGGTGTCAAGCACTCTTCATAGAGTGCTCTTCAGGAAGAGAGCAATGGAGCCCATGGCTTGTCTATCTGTTATCTCTCACTTCCCCTACACAACCTGCCCTTCATCTTGTTTGTTCATACATTTCTTCCATGATATTCTTTACTCTGTTTTCCTTCATAATTGCTGGGGTCTTGTGACTGCTTCTTATCACCCCCCCCCCCAGTGTCTGCCCTCACTATCACACTATCAGCTTTCCCTTCTCTCTTCTGTTAATGGACCTGCCTCTAGTACACTCCCTCTCTAGCCCTTCACCTCTTTCGCCACCATCAGATAAAAATCACTTCTAATTTGCTGCTTCTGATCTGATGTGAGCTGGGAAAATGGATCACTAACCTTGTTACACTTGCATCCAGAGTCAGAATAAAAGGCTCTGTACAGGGTACAGGGCCTGAAGGGTTCTTCTATCAGGAAAGTACATGGACTCTGGGACATCTCTTTTGGCTTCCTGCCTGGTCCTCAGCCATATTCTGAATCGTTGACGTTGACTAGATAAGTGTCTCTCCCTATTAAAAGATGAATTCTCTGAGAATAATGACTGTCATAACTATTTGTTTCCCCAGTACTTAGCCCATAATATGTTTTTTCATTCATTAATAAGTGAACTTAGATAAATGAGACATTATTATACTCTCCCATTTTACAGATAAAGAAATTGAACCCAGTGTATTTAAGTGGCCACTCTAAAGTTATCCAGGGATTCAGTGATAGGATTGGAATTTGTGTACCTATTTCCTGCTTCCTAATAGAGTTAGTCATATATTATTTCACTCCTGGGTTCAAATTCTGTTTCTGTCATTTATTCTCTGTGTGACTCTGATCAAATCAATTTAACTTCCCTGAGCCTCAGTTTCCTTATCTGTAAGATGAAGGGATTAGACTAGATGATCTCTGTGATGCCTTCCAGCTCTGGGTCTGTGATTCTATGATGCTAATTTTCCCAAATAGCAAAGAATCTCCATTTGTCACCAAGGGTGTCTAAAATCAAAACTCCCAAACCCTTTTCCAAAGTCCCATTACTTTATAGATAATGACATATGTGTCTTATATGATGACATATATGTGTATAATGTACACATATGTATAGGATGTATATAATATAGAACTAGGCAGGGAACCTGTGGCCTCAAGGCCACATGTGGCCCTCTAGGTCCTTAAGTGTGGCCTTTTGATTGAGTCCCAGTTTTACAGAACAAATCCTTTTAGTAAGGGGATTTGTTCAGTGAAGTGTGGGTTCAGTCAAAGGCCCACACTTGAGGACCTAGAGGGCCACACGTGGCCTCAAGGCTGCAGGCTCCCCACCCCTGAAGAATGTGATGTGTTGGGAGCAGCTAGGTGGCTCAGTGGATAGAGCACTGGCCCTGAAGTCAAGAGGACCTGAGTTCAAATCCGGCCTCAAACCAAACACTTCATACTTACTGGCTGTGTGACCCTGGGCAAGTCACTTAACCGCAATTGCCTTAAAAAAAATGTTATATGTCATTCAGACACACACACACACACACACACACACACACACACAACACACACACACCCTCACCCCTAGGCCACGTAAGTACTCAATAAATACCTGTTGACCAACTGATTCATTTGGTCTAGCTAATCTGCTCCTTCTTTTGGATTTTGAGTTTTTCTTGTGAATTTCATCACTTTCTCCTGGACACACTCTTTTCACATTCCTAAATCACTAAGTACGGGGAAGCACATCCCCCCACTCGGAACTCATCACTGACCTGACTGTTTAACTGCAGACAGTAGTGATTTGTAAAATGTCATTATCCCCAACCAGGGGTCAAGCCAACATAGAATGGAATACTACATTATTTTGTAGTTCATGAATTTCATATGATGTTGTTATTCCAAAAATGTGTTCTTTCTCGGGTGACTTGGGTTGATTTTTTTTAAAAGGATTGGAAAGCAGCAGTAGCCAAAGGATTACTGTAATATTTCTCTTTGGCTGAGACTGAATACCTTGTTTTTTTAGATCCACTCTTCAGATAATCTTTCTGACTAGTGCCCCCAGATGCCTACCTCTAATTCAGAATCAGTTCATATGCCAATATCATAGCAATGGTGTTCTTGACCTTGGAATGAGAAAATAAGTTATTTTATTCAGCTTATTAAAGCTCATTTTTACTCTTCTCATACTATTTTATTTTTTATTATGAATTAATTTATTTTTAGTTTTCAATAATCACTTCCATAAGCTTTTGAGTTTTAAATTTTTTCTTCCCTTCTCTCCCCACCTCCCTCCAAGACAGCTCACAGTCTGATATGGGCTCTACATGTACATTCCTACTAAACATATTTTCACATTAGTCGTATTGTAAGGAGGAATTAGAACCAATAGGAGGAACCAGAAGAAAGAGGAAACAAAACAAAACAGAAGAAAAAAGAAGAGCAAATAGTTCTCATACTATTTTAAATAGACTTTCCCCCTTCTTTTCTCATTGCTAACTTTTCAGTAGGTAAACTCTTTCCTTTTCTTCTCCCTCTTTTTTTCTTTTTCTATTGTGAAAACTAATCATGGTTGCTATTTGTTTTTGTCTGTGCTTTCAAATTTCTTTGTCCAGTGCCCTGAGCCCTTTGAAGGAAAGGCATTGGGTAAATCCAATCAGTAATTATTTATGAAAACTAGATACATGGATTGCAGCTTTGATGAGTTGCAGGTTACTCTATCTCATTGTCAAATGGCTTTATTTAATGCTGTGACCTGGTGCTGCTATGATACAGAGCAAGTTTTAAAAGATATGGCAACTCCTGTCTTTGTGAAATTGAAATATAATAAGTTTTATTGATGCTTTTTGTTTGTCTATCACAGTCACTTCAGGCCGTATCCTCCCTGCCTTCACAAACAAACTGTCCCTTAAAACTGCTGAGCAAAAACAGCTTATACAGTGATCTAGTCTGACCATACATGTGACATACTACCCCAGTGCCCACTTCTCAGCCAAGAGGAGAGAGATATTTTTCATCATTGCTGCTCTAGGACTAAGACTGGTAGTTACTATTCCCCAGAGTTTGGCTTCCTTTTTGATGTTGTTCCTATTTGTACAACTGTATAAATTCTATACTATAGGTAGCTGGGTGATTCAGGGGATAGAGCACAACCCCTGGAATTAGGAGGACCCGAGTTCAGATTTGACCTCAGACACTTAGTAGATGTGTGACCCTGAGCAAGTCACTAAACCCTCTTTGCCTTTGTTTCCTCATCTGTAAAATGAGCTGGAGAAAGAAATGGTAAAACCACTCCAGTTATCTTTGCCAAGAAGACCCCACATGGGGTCACGAAGAGTCAGACACGGTCATATCAACAACAACAATATATTCTACTATTATAGTCCTTATTCATACCCTTCTTATGGTTCTCATTACACTTTTCATCAGTTCATACACATCTTCTGATATTTCTCCAGATTGGCAAGGTTGAACTCTAAAATAGGCAAAGTCAAAGATGAAGAGACATACTCGGAAAATATTAGACAAATGAGCAAATTAGTAAAATAAAAAATTGAATGAACAAGTAAAATAATCATTATACAAACAAATCTATTAGAGTTGGTATGTTATGGCAGAATGAGAGTTGAATCTAGAGTCACAATCTGACACTCATTGGCTCTGTGACCTTGGGCAAGTCCCTTCACTTTCTTAATTGCATTTTCACTACTTCCTTCCCTTAGTATTTGGGAGGAAAGTGCTTTGTGTAACTCAAAGTACCTTATAATTCCAAGATATGCACTTTAAAGTTCAGAAAACACTTTACATACATTATCTCATTGGAGTTTCACAGCAGTCTCTAAAGTACACGTTATAGGTATGATTTTCCCCATTTTTACGTCTAAGGAAACTGAGACTCAGAGAGGTTACAACTTGCCTATAGTCACACAGCTATTAAGTACTTGTTAGAGGCAGCATTTGAACCAAGGTCTACCTGATTCCAGGGCCAGACCTCTGGGGAAGAAGTGACCATTGCTCTTCCATCAGTCAGAGAAGCGTTCTAACATTTAGAAAGTAAAGGAAATTTTTAAATTTTGTTTGTTCCTTTCATTTTAAAATTTTTATTATTTATTTTTTGGTAATATACACCAAAAGAAGAGAACATTTCTATATACAGTGTAGAACAGAAACAGAATATATGTGGACCCATGAATCTCTATTATGTACAGTTTGCTTTTAACATATATACATATATAAAATTTAACGTTACTTTCTAAGCTATCCTGTTTGTGTTTTCCTTCTGAACTTTCTTCTGTTCTCTTCTGTGCTTCAAAAAATGCTTCAATGAGCCTCTTTTATTTCTTTTCTTCCTTTCTGGTAATACTATGGATAATTCCTCTCTCTTTGCTGAGGCCTTCCCTCCTCCTAAGCATCCCTTTGATTTTACAAAGCAGCTAAGGCTCAGAGAAGTTAAATAATTAATCCAAGGTTGACCAGGTGGTGCATAGCAGGGCCAGTTTCTTGGAGGAGTTAGATTTGAGGAGTCATTTGGATTAGGAACAGGAGAAAGCTTGTGAGCTAATGGAACCTTGACATATAATATAATTAATATAATATGATATGTATAATATGATATAGCATAATGTAATGCGATATATAGTATGATACAATGTGATATGGTATGATATGATATGATGGCAGCTGAGTAGTACAGTGGGTAGAGGACTAGACAAGGAATCACCAAAACTGAGTTCAAATCCAGCCTCAGACATTTACTGTGTGACCGTAGATAGGTCATTAACCTTTCTCTGCTTCAGTTTTCCCATATGTAAAATGAGGATAATCCTAACACCTACCTTGCTACCCCAGCGTTTTTGTGAAGATGAGGTATTTGTGAAGCACTTTGCAAGCTTTAAAGTACTACATAAATGCTAGCTATCATCATTATAATAATTGTTATTATAAAGAGCACTCAAAGTTTTTTCTTAACCCTTTCTTGAGGTTATATGTCACACAAGGCACTCTCTCCCCTGATGGTGACTTTTCACTGGCCATCCATCCTCCACATCTGGAACGCTCTCTTAGCTTCCCTGGCTTCCTTCAAGAATCAGCTCAGGGGCAGCTAGGTGGCACAATGGATAGAGCTCCAGCCTTGGAGTCAGGAAGACCTGAGTTCAAATTCGGCCTCAGACACTTGACACTCACTAGCTGTATGACCCTGGGCATGTCACTTAAGACCGATTGCCTCACCAAAAAAAAAAAAAGAATCAGTTGAAATCCCACCTTACGCAAGAGGTCTTCCTAGGTCTCCTTCTCCACCCCCCCCCCCCAGCTAATAATGCCTTTTCATGGGCTCTGTATGTATCTCATACTATCTAATTGTTCACATGTTGTCTCTCTGTCTCCCCCATTGGAATGTGAGCTCCTTGACAAGGACTTTGTTTCTATTTGTCTTTGTAACTCAAGTCCTTAGCCTAGTGTCTGGCACATAATAAAAGCTTGATCCATGTTTGTTGACTGGCCAGCTTACAAGAAGATCTGGGCTCAAGATCTGTATCTGATGCTAGCTATAGTGTGGCATGGTAGAAAGATTCATTAATCCAATTTAATAAACATGTATTAAGTGGCTACCATGTTCTAGGCACTGTGCTAAGCACTAAGGATATAAAAAGAGTCAAAGCACAGTCCCTGCCTTCAGGGAGCTTGCAATTGAATGAGGAAGACGATAGGCAAATAAATATATACAAAACTAGCTCTGTACAGGATAAGTAGGAAATAAGTAAAAGAGAAAACACAGGAATTAAAAGGAGTTAGAAGAGGCTTCCTTTCGATGATGGGATTTTAGTTGGGACTTAAAAGAAGCCGGGGAGGTCAGTAGTCGGAGCTGAGGAGGGAGAGAATTCCAGGCATGGGGGAGAGCCAGGGAAAATGCTCGGAGCCAAGAGAAAGAGTGTCTCATTCATGGAGGGCAGTCAAGAGGGCAGTGTCACTGGACTGAAAATTCATATTGGGAAATAAGGTGGAAGAAGACTGAGAAGGTGGGAGAGGGTTAGCTTTTGAAGTCATTGGTTTTAGCATCAGGAGACCAAGGTTCAGATCCAAGCTCTGATGCTTACCACCTTCTACGGCCTCAGGCAAGTTACCTAACCTAACTGTTCTAAACCTTAGTTTTCTCATCTGTAAAATGAATGGGTTAGATCAGGTAACTTTTAAGGTGTTGCCCAGTCCGAAATCAAGGATCCTATGACCCTAGGTAAGTCACTGAGGCTCTCTGAAAGTCAAATGTACTCATCTGTAAGATAAGACTGAGAATACCTATAATATTTACCACACAGGATTGTTGTATGCATTAAATGAGATAATATATGTAAAGAGCTTTAAAAACTTTAAAGTGCTCTATAAATGCCAGTTGTTTTTACTATCACCAGCTAAGTATCTGGTGGGAGCTGCTTCATTCAGCTTTTATAGCTGAATGTGGTAGATCCCACAACCTGGGCAAGATTTATAGTTCATGTTAAACCCAATAGCTCCCTTGTGCAATTCTTTGAAGCTACAAATGAAAATGAATGGTCTTCTATAGGCCTGTTGTAAAGATTTCCTGATATTTGCATGCAAACTATTGGAAGTAAATAACCATGGTACCCTATGGTTGTTCTTCAGTATACTGGGGTGAACTCAATAGTGTGGCAGGCATTTAAAAGGTACTCACTTTGTGTTAACCTCCTTATCTCTGTTGATTTATTGTTAACTTACCAAATGGGGTCATCCCACGAGA